TCTTGTTTTGTCGCATGTGTTGCATCATGAATACCATGATCTTGGAGCCAGATCCCATGATATGGCGGTATATAACAACTCTTCCTGTGCAAGATTGATGATGTGTAATAGTGGCAAAGACGCACTTCTCAAACCTTTCCCTTAGCTCTAGGCTTTCATAAACACCACCAACTAGTGTGAGTTTTCCAAGACCACCCATTCCCACACAGAGATCACTTGACACTGTTGGCTATCCCTGTTTAATATTAACTCTATAGTGTCATCGTGACGATCGTTTGTTTCTTTCACCCAATAAGCACCATCCTGGTGCGAGTAAGACTCCTACTGACCACCTCTTTCCATCAACATCCGTAGATTGAACCTCTGTTACTTCATCATCTAAGCTGCACACTGGCTTCAATTAATCCTCTACATTTTGGGAACCTAAAAGAAAGAAAGCAACAATTAGCAACGGCATTTAGCCTTCAGTTTTCCCTAGAAATGTTTTCAGTGTTCATATTTGTTTCTTTAGTTTCCACTCTATTTTAACATGTAATTTGGTGAACCTGAACCGCCAATTTTCAAACATTAGATTTTATTGTTAAATTAGAGATTAGAGAAGTACGTATTTTAAGAAAGATGTAAGTTTAACTACACTTAATCCAAATTAAGGATAACCGAGGGTATATTTGCTGAATGAGCCCCACCTTCTCGGTCAGAGAGAGGGAAATAAATCTACAAATAACTTTGCTAATTAAATATGAAATGAAATATTCCATAACTAAATTGTTTGTAAAAAGAAGGTTCGAATTATAAATTGTGTAAAGAAGTCTTGCATTCTACTACATTACATATCTAATTTTGTGGGCCTCAACAGTAGACAACTATTTTAGGTCTGATACTTGGCTTTGCTGCCCAACACATAAGCTTGTAACTTCAACTTATGCGGTTGATACTAATATACAACTTCCTCTCTTATTGTTTTGAATCATTTTTTTAATCTTATTCCACTCCACAATGGTCGATAGGTCAAAAAGCATAATTAGACACCTATTCTCCTTCACATAGCCATTGAATCCTGAACTAAACCTTGTTATTACTTCTCTACCTCCAACATTGATTCAATCCTCCAATTGCATGAATATGATTCACCAAACTCTAGATAAACCTTTTGGACTAAAATGATGCATAACTCTCGCCCATGCTCGCACTAGGAACTTTTTTTTGGGTGCCTAGATTCTCATAAACCACCCTAATGATGGATGTTTGTCCAATATTGTTGAAATATTTCTTAGCATAAACATGTAATTTGACATGTACATGATCTTTAGTTAGCCTAAAACATGATGACTAATTAGGCATTGTCGATGTTTTGAGGAAGGGGCTCAATTCCCTCCTAATCTTGGGCACATGGACTTTGTGGAATCACCGTAACAAGTGTCTCTTTGATGGTGCTTCTCCTAGTGCTACTCATGTGTCAATGCTAGCTATAGAAGAGTTGCACCTTTGGGATCTGGCTGGGGCATGTGGTATTACTCACCACCTCGCACTAGCGCCTCTGAAAGGTCCTAATGGCTAGAGGGGGGGTGAATAGCCTATTAAATATTTCTACAACAACACTTAGCAAATCGGTTAGACAAATATGAAGCGAAGCGAGTGTTGCGTTAGCCTACTAAAAAGCAAGCCACCTACCACAATTTTGGTTTCTATTGTCTCTATCCACACAATGACTATGTTACTACACTAAGTTAGTGTGCTCTCAAAGGCTAACTAAAGAGCCACACTAACCAAACTAACAAGCTCTCATGACTAGCTACACTAAAGAGCTTGACAACTAGTTTGTGGTAATGTAAATAGAGAGAGCAAGATGGTTATACCGCCGAGTCGAGGAATGAATCAATCAATCACAAGAATGAATACCAATGAAGACCAATCACCTCGAAATCAAATGATGACAATGATTTTTTACCGAGGTTCACATGCTTGCCGGCAAGTTAGTTCTCGTTGTGGCGATTCACTCACTTGGAGGTTCACGCGCTGATTGGCATCACACGCAAAACTCTCAATAGGGTGCCGCACAACCAACATAAGATGAGGATCATACAAGCCACGGGCAATTTACTAGAGTACCTTTTGGTTCTCCGACGGGGAAAGGTCAAGAACCCCTCACAATCACCACGATCGGAGCCGGAGACAATCACCAACATCCACTCAACGATCCTTGCTGCTCCAAGCTGTCTAGATGGCGGCAACCACCAAGAGTAACAAGTGAATCCCACAGTGAAACACGAACACCAAGTGCCTCTAGATGTAATTACTCAAGCAATGCACTTGGATTCTCTCCCAGTCTCACAAAGATGATGAATCAATGATGGAGATGAGTGGGAGGGCTTTGGCTAAGCCCACAAGGTTGCTATATCAATGCAAATAGCCCTGGGCGTTTGGTTCTATCGAACCAAACCGATCGGTTCTTTGGTTTTTGAAGAAGTTCGGTTCTCAGAAAACCAGTACCGATCGGTTCTTCAAAAAACATGGAACCGACCAAGTTCGGTATCGGTTCTTTCGGTTCTGTTCTGGGTAGAACCGAAAAACCGAACAGTACCCAAAATCCATGTAATAGCATGTTCAATAGCAAATTTTGACAGCATTTCAGCAGGATTGCATACAAAACTACAGTGACAAATATAACAGTCAAACAGAGTAACAAATACATAAATAGAGTGCTAACTTCTAAAGCAAGGCATCAGCATTCAGCAAGAGTGCAAGACACTAAGACAACACACTACTACACTATTTTTGGTTCCTCGGTTAGTTCGGTTAACTAAGGGGGGGAACCGATTTTACCGAACAAATTTCGGTTCCTCGAAAATGAGAACCGAACAGGGAACCGAGACTTCGGTTCTCGGTAAATTCGGTTCGGTTCTCGATTTTTTTGGTTCGGTTCTCGGTTCTCGGTAAAATTTACCCAGGGCTAAATGCAAATGCCCAAGAGAGTGAGCTAGAGCCGGCCACACGCCTTTAAATAGAGCCCCCCCAACGAAATAGAGCCGTTGGCTCCTCAGTCCTCTAAAACACGGGCTGACCGGACACACCGGTCAGGTTGACCGGACGCAGGACCCCAGCGTCCGGTCGCTCAATGCTCGTCACGTGTCATCAGCCTCAAATGCTGAGCGCCTGATGTTAATGACTAGTCAGCTTCGTGCCACACGTTAAGTTGCGACCGGACGCACTATAGTGTAGGACCGGACGCACTGTCACCTAGCATCCGGTCACTTTCAGTAAGGTTCCAAATGTGGAAATTCACGACCGGACGCAGTCCGGTGGCTCATGACCGGACCTAGGCCTGCATCTGGTCAACTCAGCCTCTCTCTATTGCTTGTGTCAGCGTATGTCACTAGGTGACCGAACGCACCCCCTGTGCGTCTGGTCCCTCTTTCTCTTCAGCATCCGGTCAAGGGACCGAGGGCGGCCTTCACTGCGTGCCACTAACCGGACGCGGGTCAGAGTCCGGTCACTGCCCAAGGTAGAGTCCGATCAATACGAAACTTCTCCTTTTGACCTCGAACTTCACCACCCTTGATCAAATATGCGAACCACCAAGTGTATCACCTTGTGCCCATGTGTTAGCATATTTTCACAAATGTTTTCAAGGGTGTTAGCACTCCACTAGATCATAAATGCATATGCAATGAGTTAGAGCATCTAGTGGCACTTTGATAATCGCATTTCGATACGAGTTTCATCCCTCTTAATAGTACGGCTATCGATCCTAAATATGATCACACTCGCTAAGTGTCTCGATCACTTAAACCGAAAAGCTCCTATCAATTTCACCTTTGCCTTAAACTTTTTATTTTTCTCTTTCTTCTTTTCCAAGTCCAAGCACTTGATCATCACCATGGCATCACCATCATCATGGCATGATCTTCATTTGCTTCACCACTTGGAGTACTGCTACCTATCTCATAATCACTTTGATAAACTAGGTTAGCACTTAGGGTTTCATCAATTCACCAAAACCAAACTAGAGCTTTCAGCCTCCCAAAGCTTAATTGATCGGTGTTAGAGGTTGTGGCCAGTCTTTGTGTTATTTTGGCGCATATGTTTTAGAAACCTAAGTGTGATGGAGGTGTGGTGTTGTAAGAGTTCTGATGCAGTTGTACATGGCTTAACTAGTTTGCTGTGAGTTCCCTCTTTTTTATAGGTTCTATGGGATCAGGGCCAGTTTCAAGATCTGTTTAGTTTGTCTTCAATTAAAAAAAAGAAATATGACTTTATAAAATTTTTATAAGTTAACGAAAGTGTGTTGTTGCATTCAAGCCTTTGCATTAGTTTTATTGTATGGAAAATTAATTTCTAAAATTCGTTTAAGCCACAAATAGGATTTCGGTTTGTTTTTAAAAAAAATTAAATTTTGTCTGAGAAAAACAATTTCTAAAAATAAGTTAATTTTGAGCGAGTATATTTTAAAGTTGTTGAGAATGGCTTAATTTCTTAAAATATTTTACAACATTTTCACATATATGTCCCAAATTTCTTTTACTTTCAAAAAGGTTTCAAAAATATTTGTTTTGACTTTCAATATTTGACTAAAAATATTTTAAAAAATGATCAAAAAGAAAATAGAGTCTAAAAAGAGTTTCAAAAAATATGTTTGAAAAGGAGAAATATTTTAAATTTATTTAGATGTTAATTTTTAAAATTAGTTTATAAAGGTTTGGGAGTTTTAAATTTTCTTGTTTAAGAAAAGTAAGTGTATATTCTACTATTCTGCAGCGAACTCCAATTCCTCTCCATTCTCTTTCTCTTGGGCTCCGGCCTTACTCTGTCTGTTGTCGCCAGTGCCCTTCTTAAGTTGGCCGGCCTAGCTTCTCTGGCCCGTAGGCACCAGCAGGAGCCAAGGACCGCCCCCTCTCTTTCTGTGTCTCTGCCGCCGGACCGCAAGAAGAGGAGCAAGCAGCGACGGGACCTGGGCGCTCGTACGCCGTGGCCGCCTTCTGTCCGAGTCCGTTTGGCCGACGATGTCTCGCCCCGAGCCCCGTGCGCAACGATTTGGATCCGCATCGCCCTTCTTTCTCTCGCACAAATCGTGCGTCACGAGGCACCGCCTCTGCTTCTCGCTTCCGCCCACGCAGCCGCCAGCGAGCTCTCTAGCCGCCGCCATCCTTCTCCGATTGGAACTCGAGCGCGCACGCCAAGCGGCCAAGGTGAGATCGGAGGCCGATGTCTCTTCCTCGAATCGCGCCCGGACCCGCTGCTCCTCTTCCTCTTCGAGAAAACCGCACGGGGTCGGGGCGTCGGGCACCAGTGCCTTGGCGACATTAGAGCTGCCAGTGCTACACTGCTACCCCTGTTCTTTGGCGTCGAACGGAGGTAAGAAGGACGCCTGTCCCGCTAGATCCAAGAACCGCCCATGTCCTCTGATCCGCGCCGCCCATCAGCTACGTCACCGACGTCTCTGATGAAGAAGAAGCGGCCTCAGCCGCTGGATCTTCTACGGACGACCGCGCTCGAGGGTGACCTAGTCAACACACGGTCAATAGAGGACCCTGTCAGCAACCGCGCCCACCGTTTTTTTTCTTGGTCATCAAGCGCGTGCGGGGCTTGGTCTGCCCGTCCGGACGGACACCCTAAACCAAGTATTGCTGTAAGTTAAAAACAATGTGGCGATGGATAAAGTTGTTGGTGGGTAAATCCAATGATGATGGTCCTGTTTGTTTCGCTAAAATTTGGCTTCGTTGGCTGAAGTAGTGCTGAAAATAGGGCGGTTGTCGCCTCCTCAAAGCATCGATCGTTATATGATATTTGGTTATACAATATATGAGACGTAAATTTTAATGAATCTCATTGTTCGTTTTATTTTTTATTAATTTTATCTTGTTTTGTATTTTATAGTAACGTTAACACGGGTACTAGTACGGTGAGTGCAAGGTGGGTGACTGAATACTGAGACAGTGCAAGAAACCATTGATACTTTTTTTAGAATAAACATGTATAGTTTTCATTGGTTCTATTTATATTTTTGGGATATAAATATCAGGTATAGGTATAAGATATCCCACTGTATAATTTGCTAGGCTTATAACCGCAGCATGGACATGGATATATTTGCTTAATTTGAGACAGGTGTAGTCAAGATCATAAAGCAGATAACAAAACTGGCTAAGCGTACTTATGGCTTGAAAGCCAGGCGGTTATAGTTTGATTACACTACACATTCTGATGGGTGTGTAGCTAAAAAGGATCTACAAACTCGTGCAACTGGGTGATTACACACTACAGATTATAGATACTGTATGAATAGACTTTTGCTACATGTAACCTGAAGAGGCTAGAAATATCCTCCTGGCTGATCACCCTGTTCACCTGCTGATTGTCCAAATAGAAAGCCATCACCAGTTATTTGGTTGTCAACCCATGCATGCAGGAATATCTTCCTCTGTAATTATAAAACCCTCAAAGAGTACCGACTCAATTTAACTGTGAAGGTCACATATTAGGCACACAGTATAAGCTTGACAGCAAAGTCGCCTCTCAGGCATATCATTTTCTTTTGTTTGCCCCGACTTTCATTTAGACCTCTCTATCTGCATAAATGGCCCAAACTTGACGTCAAGCCTCTTCTTTCTCATCTCAGCAAACTTGATAGCGTCCTCTAATAGGTTCTCGTAATCAATCAGATTGAACAATAAACAAGCAATTTCCTTAACCCCCAATTCTATCTAAAGAGTAAAAGTGTGATAAAAAAATTACCAGAGTAAAAGTACTATAATATCCTTAATGAATTTTTGGTTGATCAACGGATAGCTTGGCCCTGTTCGCTTGTCTTATCATCCCTACTTTTCGGCTTGTCTATTCAATCGAAATAGTGTTTTTCTCTCACAACAAATCAGCTGTAACAGTGTTTCAGCTTGTTTTTTCAGCGAAGTGAACGGGGTCAATAATTCTTTTGGGAAGGAAGCACAGTAACAAATCTCTTCTTGATTTGGGGGAAAAGATTTTCACCTAGGCGCAATATAGCCAAAACTGAAAATATACTGCCGAGCCAACGAGCGTGTCTCATACTATGGATGGATGGACTCTAATATATATTTGGGACTAATTTTAGACTCTATCTTTGTGGAACATTTATTTGGGACTGCATCTCTGTAATATATGAGACTGCAAGTGGTGAAAGGGGGCTGTTCGTACTCATATCATCGAATCAGCAGTTTATAGTATGATTTTGCTTTGTTTTATATCCAGAATGGTCTAGAAATGATATACGTGCCTGACAATTTTTGTAAATTTTGTCTGAAAGTTTTTTTTATCACCAATAAATTTCCGATATATAAGATAATGTGACCACCGAGATTTTTAAAATACAGAAAACCTTGCTGTCGAGCCAACGACCGTGTCTTATCCTATTCGCTGGTGCTCCATGCATACTGGTCAAGTGCAATAGTTGTTATGTCATATCAGTAGTGCGTTTGTGCGCAAAAACTGTTGTTAGGTGGTGTTTGTTTTGTTCTCCTAAACTTTAATCGTTGTTTTATCGGATGTTTGATATATGTATGGAGTATTAAATATAGATTAATTACAAAAATAAATATACAGATTTAGACTGTTTTGTGAGACGAATTTTTTAAGCCTAATTAATACATGATTTCACAATGTGGTGCTACAGTAAACATACACTAATGACAGATTGATTAGGCTTAATAAATTCGTCACGTGGATTACTGATGGACTTTGTAATTTATTTTTTTATTAGTATCCAAACACCACATACGACACCTCCTAAACTTTAGTCACTGGATCCAACCACCCCCTTAGTCTGCCTATTTCGCATCACTTTGACCATTGGCAACTTGTTTCTTCTTGTAGTGCTGCGGGGCTTGTCGTCCCAAGCTGCACTCAGCCAAATCCTGCTGCAGGTAAAAGATTATCATCAAATGTTACTTATTTAGTAATTCTTCTGTATATATCAATTTGCAATTGATCACAAAAGATCCAGTTTGCTAGTACTTGAATTGACTCCGACTCCGATGATCCGCGATCCATGCGTTGGTAGGCCTTTAATTGGGAGTCATGGAACAAGGGAGGACCCGGATGGTACGACTACCTGCAGAGCCAGGTCGACGACATCACCGCCGCCGGGATCACCCATGTGTGGCTACCACCGCCGTCGCACTCCGTGGACGCGCAAGGTTATCTTCCGGGGCGGCTGTACGACCTGAACGTGTCCCAGTACGGGAACGAGACGCAGCTGAGGCCTGAGGGCGCTCATCGCGGCGTTCCACGGTAAGGGCGTCAGGTGCATCGCCGACATCGTCCTCAACCACCGCACGGCGGAGAGCAAGGACGGCCGCGGCGTCTACTGCATCTTCGAGGGCGGCACGCCGGACGGCCGCCTCGACTGGGGCCCCCACATGATCTGCCGCAACGACAGCTACTCCGACGGCACGGGCAACGCCGACACCGGCCTGGACTACAAGCCGGCGCCGGACCTCGACCACCTGAACGACGTCGTCCGGAGCGACCTCACGGGGTGGCTCCAGTGGATGAAGAGCGACGCCGTCGGCTTCGACGGCTGGCGCCTCGACTTCGCCAACGGCTACTCCCCGGCCGTCGCCGGCAGGTACATCAGCAGCACGACGCCCGACCTCGCGGTGGCGGAGATATGGACGGACCTGGCGTACGAGCAGGACGGGAGGCCGCGCGCCGACCAGGACGCGCACCGTCAGGTCCTCGCGGACTGGGTGGACGCCGTCGGCGGCCCCGCGGCGGCGTTCGATTACACGACCAAGGGCATCCTCCAGGCCGCGCTCAACTTCAGCCAGCTGTCGTGGATGAAGGACGCCCAGGGGAGGGCGCCCGGTCTGGTTGGCCTGCGCCCACATCAGGCCGTCACGTTCGTTGACAACCACGACACCGGTTCAAAGACGCATCAGCTCTGGCCGTTCCCGCCGGCGATGATCTTGCAGGGCTACGCCTACATCCTCACGCATCCAGGCATCCCTTGCATCGTACGTGCTTATGTATAGGAGCATGAAAGACGATATAGGAGCATATATATTTAATCTCTTCCATTATATTGCAGTTTTACGACCATTTCTTCGATCCGGACATGAAAGACCAGATCACTACGATGATGAAGATAAGGACGCGGAACAAGATTGGGCCGGCCAGCAAGTTGCGGATTCTCCTTGGGGGCAGGGCGTAATCGTGAGCAGGCAGGCAGGCACGTACCTTTTCTCCCATGTCTAGTTGTAGGAATTTGGATTTTGGGGCTACTGTAGCATGTTTGTTTTTATTTGGCAAATAGTGTTTAAATATGGACTAATTAGGCTTAAAACGTTCGTCTCGTAATTTCCTACCAAACCGTGCAATTAGTTTATCTTTTCGTCTACATTTAATGCTCCATGCATGGGCCGCAAACATTCGATGTGACAGGTACTGTAGCAACTTTTTGAAAGTTAGGGTAAAACTAAACAAGCTCCATATTGCAAAATCGCTTCCACTGGTGGTCACCTGGAAGCCGTCAGGAACGTACTTGCTGACATCGTACCTAGGTCCAACCTTGGCTAGCACACTGCCGTCGATCTCTGCGACGTATGCGTCGTTTTCAGCGAGGGCCATGTTTAGGGCGTGTTCGGCTGCCTTAAAGGCAGCCGGTTGGCTTGTTTTTCCTCTCACAGAATCACTGTTCACGTCCTGCCAGTACAGTATTTTTCTCTCACAACAATCAACTGGAACAGTATTTTTCAGTCCTGCCGAACAGGCCCTTAGTTCACTCTAGCTTTTAACTTTGGCACTAAGTAAAAAGAAGATTATCCATAGCATCAAATTTACGGTACATGTATGGAGTACTAAATGTTGACGAAATCAAAAACTAATTGCACAGTTTAATTGTACTTTACGAGACGAATATTTTAAACCTAATTAGTCAACGATTGAGCAACTATTAACAAATACCTATTCCCTTGGTCGTACTTTTTCGGTCAACGAATAGTATTTTTCTCTCATAACAAATAAGTCAATAGTATTTTTAGTCATAGCTTATCAGTCAAGCGAACGTGACATATATTGCCAGATTGTATGATCGATGTTATTGGTAGTTGAATTATTGCCAGCCAGATCGACATGTTGTCTGTTCATCATCTTCATTTCAGCTCCGTTGTGCAAACGAACACACCGCCACCGTCAACAACAACAACAACAAGGTCGCGGAGGTGGGTAACGCCAGTCGTTGCCACGGTTGCGCCGCTCTCGGCCTTGCTCGCCTGCATTGCGGCAGTGATGCTCCTGTTCCGGCGACAAAAGAGGAGGAGCAGGCGGCGGCGGATGCAGGGGATCGCCAACGCAATTGATCACTCCGATGACGAGGACGACGACGACCCTGACCAAGCAGATTTCGAAAAAGGGGTGGTCGGGCCTAGGAGGTACCACTACCGCGAGCTGGCGGCAGAGACCGGCAACTTCGACGAGGAGAACAAGCTCGGGAGTGGCGGCTTCGGCCCTGTCTACCGCGGCTACCTCGCGGCGCAGGACCGCCACGTCGCCGTCAAGGTGCTCTCGCCGGAGACCTCCACACAGGGCCGCAGGCAGTTCGAGGCCGAGGTCCGGATCATCAGCCAGCTGCGGCACCGCAACCTCGTCCAGCTCGTCGGCTGGTGCGAGAGCCGCAAGAAGGGCGGCCTCCTGCTCGTCTACGAACTCGTCCCGGAGGGCAGCCTTGACCAGCATCTCTACGGCGGCGCGGAGCGCCTCCTGGCGTGGCCGGAGAGGTACAGGATCGCGGTGGGGCTCGGCGCCGCGCTGGTGTACCTGCACGAGGAGTGGGAGCAGTACGTGGTGCACGGCGACATCGAGCCCAGCAACATCATGCTGGACTCCTCGCACAGCGCCAAGCTAGTCGACTTCGGCCTGGCGCGGCTCCTCGACCACGGCGTCGGGCCGCGCACCACCAGGGTCGTGATGGGTACCATGGGCTACATGGATCCGAACCTGGTGAACACGCACAAGCCCAGCAGGGCCTCCGACGTGTACAGCTTCGGCGTCGTGCTGCTGGAAGTCGCCTGCGGCAGGCAGGCCGGCCACGGACGAGCTGCCCGACGGGGAGACGCTGGCACTGCCGGAGTGGGTGTGGGAGCTCTACGACCGCGGCGCCGTGCTGGAGGCCGCCGACGGCAGGCTGGACGGTCAGTTCGACGTGTGGGAGATGGAGCGCATGCTGGTTGTAGGGCACTGGTGCTTGCACCCGGTGCCCAGGGAGCGCCCGTCCATCGTGCACGCGCTCAACGTGCTGCAGTCCCGGGAAGCCACCCTGCCGGCCCTCCCGGCGAACGTGCATCGTGGCGCCGCGGCGCCAACTGCCGGGTTCAGTGCGTACGTTCACTCTATGTCGTCCGTCGGTAGCGTTGGAGAACCATGCTGATCTGGTACCAGTGCCACCCAGGATCTAAAAGCATATACTAGAACTAGAAGAGACTCGTTCTCTATATTTTATTTCTACTGCATTTCATTATTTTTTAAAACTTTAATGGCTATAAAGTTGTAACGAGGGTTTAGCAACGGCTCTATATTTTCTTTTTTGTGTGATCATAATTCGGCTCTAGGGCCTTATATTGCACGCATTAGACTCACTTGAGCATTTACAATTGAGAAATTCTAACGGACAACCGAGTGTTTTCTTTGCTGCCAACACTCGATTTTTGTAGCCGTGCGATTGCCTCTGTAGGTCTCTGATCAGCCTCGCGTCCGTTTTGGAAATGGCAGCACGCACGGGCGGCGGCTGGGACGCGCGCCCGCCACACGCAGTTGCCCGCAGTAGCCGGCACCGGGCGCTGCTCCCTCCGTCGCCGCACGCAGTCGCCCGGCCGCACGCAGCATGCGTCCGCGGCCGCCGCAGTTGCCGGCACCGGCCACTGCTCCCTCCGCCGCCGCACGCAGTTGCCCGCCCACCCGCAGCACACGTCCGTGGCCGCCGCGGTTGCCGGCACCGGGCGTTGCTCCCTCCGCTGCGCCCCGCGGCCGTCCTCGGCACGGGCGCGGCCCGCAGTAGCTACAATCCATAGAATTTGTATTTTTTTCCTGAATTTTGTGAATAATTTGTGAACAATTTGTTGACATTTGTGAACAATTTAACATATATTTATATGATATCTGGAATCAATAGAAATAATTTGTAATTCTTTTTGAAAACTTTGGCATATATTTGTATTATTTCCAAATTACATCACTCTATTCATTAAATTACATTGAAGAAATTAGCGTAAATATAGTAATAAGACAGTGTAAATATAGCTAAAATGCAATGTAAATGCATTGCAAAAAAATCAGGTGACAAGAGCTTCCAAAACACTCAGTTATTGGCTAGACAGACTCGTACAGATGCATTGACACTGCAAGAAACAAGTGAAAACACTGGCGAAACAAAGCGATCATACGGGAGACCATGGATATCATCTACTAGCATACCACACGGAGCATGATATAATAAATCATTAGTGGCCATCGCTGCTTTCAGTATACTAGAATCCAGCTCAAGGATAATCCGGGAAACGCCATAAGCTTCAGCCATTTCCAAAGCCTTCAAGCAGCCGATCGACTCCGCCATCAGAGCATCTTGTACGTACCCTGCATTGCCAGCAAACAGCGGTAAGAGCGGCTCAGAGGCCCTGGTAGTGCCGGTGCTATAACCGCCTAAATCTATGTCACTTAGCTAGGGATGAAAATGGATAGAAAAAATCTTGTCCCGCTCTGACCCGTTTTCTACTTTTGTCATGTCTGTTTCTGTATTTATGGGATCTTGTTTCCATAAATAAGGAAACGGGAGATGGTGTTTTCTCCGTTTTTACAGGATCCCGTTTTCATCGGTATTTATCTTGTTTTTCATCTATTCGCCTAACAATTATCTGCCTCTATGTTATGTTAGTACCCCTACTAATCATGGATTATGCATGTTAATGTGTTAACACACATGATATGTAAGTGAATATGTCCATACAGGGCGCGTTCGCTGGTCTGGTAAAGCCGGCTGCTCCTCCTCAGCGAACACTATTCATCAACCAGCCGCAACAGTGTTTCTCTCTCACAAAACCAGCCAGTTTCAGTCAAGTTTCAGACCAGCGAACGGGGCCACAGTCTTTATTATTGTGTGACTTTATACATGCATAATCGTAACTTATTTTTCGGGCTTTTTGGCCATATCTGTTCTTTTCCGTATGTCTGAATATCCCGATCCCATTTCTAATCCAGGCTTTTCTGAACCCAATCCCGTTTCCACAAAAAAATATAGAAACGTGAGAGGTTTTTTTTCCGCTGGTTTTCATCCCTTCTCATCCCTCCACTTAGGGCAGCTCTAGCGTGAAATCTATTTTTACACCACTAAGTTAAGGCGCGTATGGTAGAACTTTGGGTGCAACCAAAACAGCTCTAGTGTTGTTGCTTCTATTGAGCTCCAGATTCTTTGCAAAAAATGTTTGGTAAAACAGCTTTTCATAGAGTCATGGTACATAAAAATGGTGAGGTTTTCATAACATCTTTCTTGCCTTTTTTCTTTCCTTTATTTATTTCTCCTTTAATAAATTTAGTTTCTTTATTTTTTCTCCTTTTATCCTCTCCTTATTTCCCCATCGCTCTCACCCACCTCCACTTGCCACCACAGTCCCACCTTTCGCCCGCCGGTCACGCTCCCGCTACATGTTCCGCCGCCATGCCGTGCTCACGCCGCCAATCCTGTGTGCCTCGTCCATCTACTGCCTGCCTATATCCTACCGCCGCGCTGCTACACCTCCCGACCGTCGTATGCCATCTGTGTTCCTGCCGCCGCACCTCATCCCATGCACAAGGAGGAGGGGTATTTTGGGCTATGCTGCAAGCAAGGATGACAGAGCTAGGTGAAGATTATTTCTTCAGTACCCCTCCCGCATTCGGCTCCAATCAACACAAATTGCGGAGCTCCATGCGACGAGACGAAACTGCTCCTACAACGACTTCGACAGCGCTACCAAACGTGCCCCTACTATGCTGTTAGAAGATGCGGTGCTCACTATGTGGTGTTCGATGCATGGGACTCACCATTCCACTAGAGGAGGAAGAAAAGCAAGTAAAAATTGTTTGCATCTCTACATGTTAAGGTTTATCTTGGCTCAGATGCTCTGTTTTTGGTTGGATACATCCACATCGCACAATAGCTGGTTTTTTAGTCACCATGGTTCG